CACGCACTGGGGGAACATAACCGGTGTTGACATAGGAACACACGCGGTTACAGCAAGGTGTATTTTAGCTGACGTTTCAAACGCGTGCTCGCTTCCATCGCCAGAGTGCCGAATCTTTCCGCATATTAATAAGAGAAGTAGATGGTGTGCCGGCCAAAATCATTGCTACGGTCAAGACCAACTATCGCTTCACCACTGTGCGGGTTCTGGTCCGTAACAATCTCTTCCAACGGTTCGATATCCAGTCTAATATTCGAAAAGGTTGCATCTTCTCACTTATTATGCTTAATTACGTCATGAGTTGGAGTCTCGGAAGGGCCCTGCATAAACTAGGTGTGGAGTATGCACCCGGACGCCAGCTGACGATATCGCCTTGCTAGCCTCGAGCTTTGGTGATCTGCAGTCTGTAGTGCCACGGGTGAATGAGATCGTTATTTCAGTTGGCTTACTCACCAACGCCAGAAAGATCAAAGTGTTTTCGAGCTGCATCCCTGGCCAGGAGAAGGCACCCCTGGGGATTAATGGCTGTCAACTTGAAGAAGTAGACAGCTTTAAATACCTCAGGGTGAAGCTGCTACCGAATGGACAGAGAAAGGATGAAATTGTCTCTCGAATCGATGTTGCTCGCCGGTTTATCTCAATCCTCTGAAAGCGCCTACGGATCCGACGTGACAGCTCCATCGCAAAGATTATCCGTGTGTACCGTGCATCTGTCCGGCCAGGCCTCCCCTAAGGTTGTGAATACTGGGCTTTGCGCATGGAGGATGAGCGAAAACTGTAGGTATTTGACCACCGTTCCCTAAGGACCATCCTTCGAGTGAAGTATGCCGACTTCATCTCAAACGAGTCAGCCAGCACTCGATGCGACAGTATCGTGAGAATATCTCAGGACATCTAAGAAAGGAGTGGTTTCGGCACGTCTTCCGTCATCCGTCTCACGAGCCCTGTTAAACTGTGTTCGATCCGGCGTCGTTGCTCACTTGGAGGCATTGAATAGGCGGTGAAATCAAGAGCCGACTCGAACCACTTTGTCAAAACATGGAAGCGGCTCTTGGACCCTCGGTATTCGGCCACTGCCATATCAAGGGCAAGTACAATCTGTTATAGCTACAAATTCGGGACGCATCCACCGTGTGAAATGTTAGTCAGATGGCGAGTCTCCTAGGGATATAGTTCACTATTAGTATGAATGAGGAGGATAAGTAGGACAAAATATTACTAAGGAAGAATGCATGCAAGCCACCTACCTGATATGTGTCGAACGCTGAATAAGATCTGTCGGCTCTTTGTTGGGCAAAAGAAAACCAGCGTCTTTGGGGTTTGTGATGAGGACGAGGGGCCAGTCTTCGGAATCTACGCCGGTCATTGGGACGTCAACAAATGATACCAAATCATTGTCGACTGCAACAACGCGGAAGCTAGAGGAGAGGGAGAAGAAAAAGCAGTATAAAAGCGCACTGTCCGAAAGGTGACAAACATCCTTTTAGTTTGGTTTTCGCACATACTGCTTGTTTCTCTTTAAAAAAGCCGCGCTTTCCATACCTAAAGAAACTCAACTGGCATATTTATAAATTTCCCTTCCTACTGTACTAGGAAAATTAGTTATAAAGCACTGACATGTATCACCAACACAAAACAAGGGCGACTGGGGTCAGCCAATTCCGGCTAAATAATCGTCCTCAACCAACACAGCATCGGACAACTCCGAGATTCGAGTCAGGAGGCGGAATAGCAGAAAACCTTCTGCTATTGAGTCATGGACTCACACAGCGCTGGCGGTGTTTACTTCTTGATCCCGATACAAGCACGAAATATCGACGGTCTACTTTGTTTTGCAGCTCGGGGTCTATAGCCCGCCGCCACCGGCGACGGCATAACGATGAGCAATCAAAAAGTAATTATTTCACAAAATGGCATGGGAGAGGGAAGCGCTTCCCTCTGTATTATTTCATTTAATCCCATTGTGAAAACATTGGCGACGTCGGTGAGGTGCGAAGCCACGACAAGACGGGCAAGGCTTGTGTACAG